AAGACGAGGTAGCGAGGCTGACGGGGCGCGTGGGCGTTCTAGTTGCCGGCGTCGCCTTACGTGTCATGAGGACGGAGAGGTCTGGGGCGTCGAAGCCGCTTGTCGGCGCCGTTCGTGTCGCGCCGCCGCCGTCACGGCCACCCACGGCCGTCAGAATGTCGGTAGGCACGGCATAGGTGGTCAGACTGGGCAGGTAACGTAACCAGATAGCATTCTCGTCATTATCTTGACCTAGGTTCATGTTGTGCGTGCCCCATACATTGTCAGCATCGCATGAGTACGTGGTATCGTTGGAATAGGAACCGCCAATGACAAGCATCTGTGAGTTGTCGACCACGTTGCAGCTCATCATGCTTTTGGGGAATTCCCCCGTGACGTTGCTGTTGGCCGGGTACGGACCTCGGATCCACTGAAAGCTGGGGATGGTGAGGATGTAGATATCGTCGTATCCCGTAGTGTCCGGAGGGAAGCCTGCGCCGCCGAAGATGTAACTGGGATGAGGTCAGTTTTGGCTCCAATAGCCTTCCTGAAAGTACGGACTTACATGTTGTAGCTGGACTGGTCTTGGGCCCAGGTCGCACCGCCACAGAAACGCCTCCGTATTTCGGGAGTACGACCGGAAGTTTTCTGTGTGTACCACTTCGTATTCGCGACGTCGTACAGAAAGATCTCATCCATGGGTTGTGGTGTCAGGGTCCCATTGCCGTCCAGGTCTTGACTGCCACCGAAGTAGACCAGCATTCCAGCATCTCCAATTGGGATGAAGACCATCACGCCTTCTGCCCTGCCGACGTTGTCGGGACCCGCGACGCTATTCCAGGAGTTCTTGTCCATGTCGTATTTGATAAGTCTGCTCAGGGCCTTCGGCGGACCTGTCCATCCTGGCACAGAAGCGTTGCTCTGCCATCCGCCGTAGTAATATGCCTCTCCCCTCGATGAGATCGAAACTCCGGCACCATAACTACCTGCATTGGCATTTCCAGCGCCAGTGGGAGACCCAAGTGACGCCCAATTGTTATAGAGGATATCGTAGCTGTAGAGAACGAAGGCGGCCGGTGGATCCTCGAAGTATTCGCCCCCGTAAAGGAACAGCCGCTTGTTCACCGAGTCTTCCCATAGAATGCCGCCGCTTACGCTCGGTATCGTCGAGTTCTTGGAAAGGCCGTCGTGGAACTGGGGCATTCCGAGCGTTGAAGGCACGTCGTCGAGGTCATTGTATGCGAGGACGGTATCTGATTTCTTGTTATAACCTATTCAATCAACTCTGAAGCGGGGTGAAGGCGCAGAAACCTACTGCTGAAATTTCGAGATGATGACGAGAAGGGTTTGTAGTTGATCAGGCCCCCGTCAATGTATAACTTACGGTCCACGACCGCCGACTGGTGCCCCCACCTCCGACAGAAGTCCCGGACAGGGTCGTTTTGCGCAAATGAAATCCCAATAATGCACCATGCGAGTAGCAGCAAAATCTCTCGTGATGGTGACGATAGGAGGTTCATGATGTCGCATTCAAAAGTCAACAACAGGTCTCATTCGGAAATCGCTCCGTTACTAGTGTCTCAGTTGATGAGTGGATAGCCAGACCTTAAATAAGTGCAAACTCTGCACAAGGCAGGCTGAACTGCAGGTGAGCATCCCCTCTGATTCTTGATAACGAGGACTCGCCGCAGGTAATCTTAATGAGTGACATGGCTTGCATAACCCCTCAGGCGGCCTGAACTGAGCGACCCGAATGGTCCAACTTGCCCAAGCACAGGAATCCACCCAGCAGCATTCTTTGTTGGCATGGTAGAAACTCGCTCAGCTGGCGAATCCCGTTGCGGACGCTGTCAGCCGCAGTCCTAGCAGATGGCTACGCTTACTGCGCCAGACCGGGATGTATCCAGGCTGGTGTAACTTGAAATGATGTGTGGTAAAAATACAAAGCGGAGGCCGTGGAGCCATTCTCTGCTTTGATACATTGAACGGCCTGCTCGCCCTGTTCGAAGCCGACTACGACTACGTAACACACAGCTGCCGGGGGACCGACCGTGTTCGAACCAGACAAACCGTAGGTGAATTTCTTAGCAATTATAACTCATTGCTTAGATGTGTATCAATCTCGTGCACTTATATGCTTTCCTCCGCCTCCTCACTCTCTGACGCAATCTCGCAAGTCCAGGTACAGCGACAATGCTACACGGCACACCTAGCTGTGCGAAGGCGGGGGCTTAAATCTGCATCATTCGGTATACGGGGTCCCTTTCCGCCCGAGCCATGCATGAGATTCCGAACGGCCAACAAAACCTGCGAGGTAAGACGGCAGAAGTCCGTCTGGCAGGCTTGAATCCTGCAGGATGCCACGGCGCTAGTCACCAACATTCGGTAGCCACTGGAAAAACATTCAAAGTGACCAGGCTTTGGCTAGGCAGTGGTAATTGGACTGAAGTCAATAGGAGGGGGGCCATCACCGTAACCTCTGATTTCTTATCCAGGCGATCATCACGACAATCAATGACCCGCCCCATTAACCTGATTGGATGCATGGCATCAACAAGTGGTCTGGCGAAATGGGGGAGAGCAAACAGCTTCTACTCAAAGGATGCCTAATGCCACCAGTGAGGCATAATATGGCGGCATTATCTGAATTATCACGAATAGACAGCGACCATATAAGGCCTTAGCCTCTTCGGCCATTCCTCTCAGTCGCAAAACGAAAGGATCATGTTGAGGAAGTTTCGAGCCCACCCAGTAGGGGTTTTCACAGTAGGGGAAAAAGCAGTAAAAGCACCTCGGTCAGTGCCCAGTCCAGTAGCTTCGCAGTATACGTACCTAAGGGTCCAGAATAACTGCCCGCGCTGACCCTAACTTGCTAAGCGAAAGCATCTAGGCTAGACGTACATACTATTATAGCTATTAGCCTCATTAACAATAGCTTTATTACTAGTAAGGTTAACAGCCTCGCCTATATGACTTACAAGCGAGATATATATTAGAGATAGCTTTATAAGGTCTTCAGCTATAGAAAAGCTTATCTTAGCTATATACTTAAGATGCTACTGCTTGCGCTAAGCTTTAAGCCTATTCCTCACCCTTAATCTTAAGTTAATACTACTAAAGCAAACTACTTAGATTTCTACACCTTTACGATATATTCTATCCTACCTAATCTATAGGATCTTATGCTATAAAGCTTTACTTAAAGTACACCCTAAGATACTAAGATTAATACTAACTATAAAGCTAAGCTTATAGTAATTAGTAAGATAATACCCTTTAATATATAGAGCCCTAGGGACTAGATAGCTATAGCTAGGTCCTACCTTAAGGTCCTAGAAGCTAACCTCAGTAGTAATAGTATAGAAACTACTTACTTACTTCAGTAAAGCCTCTTACTTAATAATATAAACGTATTTGCTACTAATCCTAGTATTTATGCCTATTTTAATAATATCCTTAATAGAGCAGCATAACTAATAAGTTAACTAAGCTAATAATATCATAAGCGTTACTAATAAATATAGACTGCAAAAATGTTAGCCTAGTTAATAGAAGGCTTAGACAGATATAGTATAAGCAGTAGAAAAGATAGCTAAGCTAATAGAAAGTGTGCGTGAGGGTTAGTAGATAGGTTGGAAAGCTGGAGAAAGTCTGTAGTAATTAAACCTAGTTAAAGTTGTGAAGTTATTATTGAAGTGATGTTGAAGGTGATGAGATTGTGATGGCGCACCTAAGCGCGTGTGGGGGAAATGGGGCCGAAGGATCACGTGACCAGTAGGCCGTTAGCTGAAGGGTGAAGTCGGAGGTCGTTGCAGTACAGGTTCCAGGTAAAAGTCACAGTAGCTGGCCAGAGGCCAAAACGAAAGGATCATTCTTTTGGATGGAGAGGCTGGCGCTGACTTAGTTCTCCCTGGCACATTGCACAAATGACTGCACTATCCTCGTCGGCGGAACTCGAGCAATCGTGTTGGTTCCAGTAAGGCCTACATAATACATTTGATATGGAGCCATTGAAAAAAAAAAAACACCCCCATGGTATCATGATTCCAGGAAGTTCAGGTTAGCTGCCTTTTCCTGGGCACTTACCACAAAGGGGCTGAGCAATTGCTTCTCTCCGCGGGAATGGTCGGGATGCATTCTGCTTGACATATTGTCAAATTCAGGGGCACTTTTCCACTCAAGAAAAATTCCCGGATAATATTCGCCGTGCACGAGTTTATTCCCGCCCCAATTACACCGTGGCCCGCCGATTCCTGAATTACAACACCCGAGCCCACATGTTGTTTCTGCAAGGTGAATACATTAGCCACAGGCGTGGCGGGACCGAAGCGCGAAGAAGTAATGAGTAAAGGGGCTTCAGGGGTGTTCGGGTCGCTGACATTGGCCGCCGGACTACCAAAGGGTCCGGTGAAGGCATATGGCGGCCGAATCTTACGGCCGGCGCACGCGATGACACGACCACCCCATACAACGCCGGTTGTTGGGGCTTGTCTATCGATTATATGCACCAGTTCATCGGAAACGGAGAGGTTGCGATAAGCCACGCCGTCAACTGCGTCGCTGCAAACGACACCGTATGCTACGTCTTCGTACCAGGTATAGGGAGGCGCCTCGCAATGGGACGCGGAACCGCCACAAGTGGTATCAGGGGCGTCCGCCGATAGCATCTCAAGAAACGAAATGTATTCGCCGGTGATAAGGGCTCCGAGACCAAGGGCAAGTAACTCAAATTTGACAGGTTGGTAAATCAGAGTTAAGATTAGAAGCCGAACAGTAGGCGATGTAATCAAATCAACTTTGCCGCCGTGTGCCACTGGAATTGGACGGATGTCTAGAGTGTCAAGAAAAGCCTCAACGCGGCTCTTGATATCGGCAGCTTCCTTGTCTGATTATAGTCGGATTGGACAGCCCTCTCCAGAGTCAAAGCAGACTTGGTAAAAGTAATCGAGAGCGGCTTCCGCATCATTCGGATTCTTCTGCCAAGTCTTCAGAAAAAGGGTTAGTTCACATATTACATAGCCTTAGATGTCAGTGGGGACTGAGTAACTCACAACGTTGGTGTAGTCCTCGGCATTCACGATTCTGTCAACCATAATTCTTCCCACCCGCTCGGGGAACATAGAAGCCAATGTGTTTCCCAGAAAGGATCCGTATGATATGCCGATGTACTGTAGTCTAGGCTTTGGCGCATTCGCCGGTTTTGTTGAGTTGCGATTCTGCCAGCGAAGGTCATCGATTCGGTCAATAATCTCAATCACATCTCTGGCAACCGAGGCGGTATTGAGGTAACCCCAGATACTATTGACACCATCAACCTCACAAAGTTCACTCTTCCCCAAAGCTGATGCATAGTGACAATTGAGGGCATTGAAACCCTCCGTGATAGGGCTGAGACCTGTGTTGCGCTCTTGGTCCAGCTTTCGAGAGATTTCGTCGCCTTTGTAGCAATCGCCATGAGGTGTGCTCAAATTGACACCTCGGGGGTCGAAACCAATAATTTCATAGTTGCGTTCGCCAGCCAGAAGGCTCTGGAAACGGCTTCCCGAACGAAGAAGCAAGTCTGTACCAGAATCTCCGGGGCCTCCGGGACTAATCAAGATACTACCACCGAACGTTGCGTCGTCCTCTGAAACCGTTGCCGGGAGTTTTACTATGGCGACAGCAACAGTCGTGTTTGTCTTCAGATTCGGATTGGACCAGTCAAGCGGGACTTGGAATTGAGCGCATTGGAAGCCTCCGTAACAGTCGTAATACTTCAGAGTTTTCGAAGGTGGGGTTAAAACCCAGCTGAACTGCGTAGAATTTGAATTGGCATCAGAGGCAGTCTGGCCTAGGGCCACGAATGCTCCAACGAGAGGGGTGTAAAATTTCATCTCAATATATTCTTCGTCGTATAATTTGAATTCGATTATAGAATAAAATGAAATTGGTCTGTCATGTGAAGGCCTTGTTGGTCTTGCGAGGTTTTATTCTAAGCATTAGTTTCATATTCATATGTGCGGTCTGACGGAATTCTTTCACGTCTTGCGTGCATCAAGCCACCGCTAAACACCTGATGAGTGTCGTTGATGTGGTAACGGTGAAAAGAAGTCTGAATACCAGTTCCCATTACAGCATCACGAACATTTGTGCCACATGACTACTTCGCAACATCCCACTTTGCAGTAATTTGACAGGCCAATCGCAACTGGTTTGGATTTAAGGGTAAACTTCACTGGCCGATTGTCGCGCCATCACCATGTGTGGCTGCTGACTGCGAGCTGAGCCGCAGCAACGCGTAGATGCTGCCGCGTCTTCGGATCCTACGACAAAGGTACCCTTGAGGACTAATAGGCTATTACGCAGTTGTGCTGCCCAGGCTCAGTGGTCTGGATGACGGAATGGCGCCATACCAAGGCTCTGTCGGATGAACATTACATCTATTATGCCACACCTAGCCAATGTTGTGAAACCTCGTATCAAGTTTCTCGACTTTGCGTCATGTGTTAGTGTGGCTTCGCTTTTCGCGTCTTGTCACGAGGGCGATGAAAACGCGAGGGAGTTCTACGGCATATGTGAACAAATGTAAAGATTGACTAAGAAAGTCACAGATCTAGATTGAACCCCTTTCACCGTATACATGTTATGCGGTTGACTGATTTTGAGCAAACATTGCTATGGTGCAGGCTTGAAGTTCGGGGTGAAACGTATTTGATAGTCAGGCATTGCACGATCCGCACCTGGCTCTTTATTCCCTTCATCTTTACTATCTGTTGAAATTGATTTGATTGAATCTCTTTTCTCCCTTATTATGACTACGATAATCAGGAGCAGAGGACATGATAGGTATTGAATCAAGGCCGGCTAGCTGGAATGGGCAGAAACGTTCTTAAGGAGGAGTTGTTGGTGGGGATGACTAATATGTACATATTATTGTTGCGAGCTCAGGTGCAAGTGAAACCTTGTACTGAGGTGACGTCTCTACATCGATATTTCGCAACGGCATCGCCCGTGGTGGTGATGGTCAAGCCGACATTTTCGATGGTGATATTATCACAGCCCCCAGCCGCTTTGCTGCAATCCATATCTGCGACGTAACTTGATGCTCCATCTCCGACCCAGCCGCGAATCGTCATATTGGATATCTTGAACGTGCTGCTCTCACAGTCTCCTTTTTCACCGCTGTAGCTTGTGCATTGGCCGATGACAAATGGCACTTGCTGTATTTGAGTCAAGTTGAAGTCACTTAATGCTATAGAGATATCAGCATCTCAAGCCTCAATCATACGGAAGTTTGAACACTCACTTGCATTTCGAAGGTCTGTTGAAGATTCATGTCAGTCCCCGACCTACTTTGAGGGGGTGAAAAGACTTACATCCGATACCTCCGCCGCCGCCGTTAGGTGGGTACGACACCTGATCGCCGGTCCAAGTCTTGACATAAGCACCATATCGAGTCTTTAGCCCTTTGATTCGACGGACAGTAACATTCTCAACTCTTTCGAATACACCCTTGTACTGTCCAAGACTTCCAAATGCGATTCCAAGGGAGCGGTCGAGGGTCGAATTCTCGATCAAGATGTTGGTGGAATTACCCTTCAGGGCAATGGCATCGTCGCCATTGCGAATGTACATGTTACGAAACGTGATGTGATCTGAGTTGATCGTGTCTGCTCCGTCGGTGTTCCTGGCAGGGTAGCCATTGCTAGATGTACTGTTGATGTAGATCCCATCAAAGAGGACGTTCTTTGACCACATGATTGTCATAGTCCACATTTGACTCTGAACCATCCGAAGGTTGCGAACCGTCATGTCTGTGGCTTTCCAAATGGCCAAAGCGTGAGGACGATCTGGGTAGTTCGACTGGCCTTTAACTAAGTTGTACCTAGAACGCTCATTAGTCTGATTGCAGTTAATCAAGCTGCGGGTAAACCACTTGCCAGACTTGGCCATTGCCGTCCAAAGTTCCATAGCCGAAACCATCTACGGTGACATTCTTGCCGCCTAGGAACCAAGCTGCAGAACCATTCTGGAAACCAGTCGGTTGAGGGTGGCTCAACCAGTACTTGGTGTCGTTGCTCCACTTCCAGCTGCCTGTCAGCTACACAAAGACTTTGGAGATGAAGATGTGGGAGACTCTACTAGCAAAGTGCCGTGTATCTCAATTTGGGTATCTTCCAAGTCCGTGGTTGTCATCATTTGATTTACGTGATATGTCGTATTCGAAAACACAATTCGACGGCCCTTGCGGCATTCCTTGAATGCAGCTAAGATGGCTGGCGAATCGTCGGTGCCATTATTGTTCGCGGGAACTGTGCAGGTGTAAATAGCTCGAGAACCGACGTCCTGCGTGGTCAAGTCCGCCACAGCTAGTAAGCCCCATAGGAGACATGCAAGGAAATAGAGGTTGAGAATCTGAGACATTTCTGTAAATATCAAGATAATCAAATGCACTGCAAACATTAGCTTTTGGCCAGAGACAATTCATATTTATCTGGCAGTTCTCCATGATCGTCAATATGGCATCGTGCAGTCCAATCAACTCGGGAGATCTCCATACGAGAGGAACGAAGTCTCGTCTTTGTTTTTCGCGAAGGGTTGTAGTAATGTCTTGGACTATGGGATGACATGGGCGTACGGTTTTGCATGCCATTTGACGCACGCGATGAATAGTGATTGCTGAGTGGTGGAATTCAACAGGTTCGGTATATATCAAGCGCAGAAGCTAGCCCGATGTCCGTTGACAAATCCAGATTAGGACTTAGGAGATGTTCCACTTGCCCGGTCTTTTCCCCTACGACGCTGATAATGATGATCCCACCGGCATTCCTCTTTTCTCCGTCTTCTACGGATAGCGGCACCCAGACCATTTGGAGTAGTGCGGTAATCGGATGGTCCCGATCGGTGGCCAAGGCAACTTTCGCCTAAATGCGGGGTTTAACGAAGCTGCCCGACATCCACGGCCGTGGCTTGGGGAACTTGGCATGGCTGGGCAGCATGGGCAATGAAGGTCCACGACAAAGTCCACGAAGGAATAATCTGTCGGCGCCTTGAGCCTGGCCCTTTCGCCCATGAGAGCGGATTCCAGCACAAGCTCAAGTCTACTTTCGTCGAAGCACCTAGATCCTATTCACAGTTGAACAGCCCACACCTTCTTTAACAATTCCATCATACGTTATACAGGCTTCTTCGCAAGCATGTTGCTCGGCTGTTTCAGGTCACATTTCACAGTAGTATTCACTACAACTCAACAGGTTGTTTGAAGTATAGACTTGGATTGGCTGGGAGGCTATATCACTGGTGAAGTAAGTACACTCTATTAACTCTATACACACTCTACAGGATATATATAGGAAATTAAACCCAAGCCATATCACCCTGGCGTCATGAACGGTACACCCGCAAACTCTCCAGTCTCAGCCACTTAAGAGCAGGTGCCGAAAAGGGGCTGGCAGCCGGTACCGCAGTGAGCAGTAGTGGTGCCGCAGAAGCCGTACTCAGAGCAGCAAGTGCTCTCAGGGCAGGTGTAGGCGTTGGCACCGCCGCAGGAGCTGTCAGGGCTGACGCCACCAGTTCCGGTCTGGGTGGCAGCGGGAGCGCTGGCAGTGGTGGTAACGGAGCCGGAAGGAGCAGGGGCAGCGGCGCCGCAGACACCGAAGAGGGGCTGGCAGCCGGTTCCGCAGTAAGCCTGGGAAGAACCGCAGAAACCGTACTCGGAGCAGCAGGCACCAGCCTCGCAGACGTAGCCCTCAGTGCCACCGCAAGCGCCGTCGGGGCCGATGACACCGGTGGGGGTAGCAGTGCTGGTGATGGAGACAACGATCTTGGAGGCGGTGGCGGTAGGGGTAGAGGTGCGCTTGGTCTTGTACCAGTTGGCCTCAGGGTCACCAAGGCACTCACCGACGGTGACGGCGTTCAGGTTGTTCTCCTTGATGATGCGCAGGAACTCGGGGACGAGGTACTCAGCGGTGTTCTGGTGAACCTATTTGAATGTTAGTGATGAAAGTTGATGAGTGGTGTGTGAGTATGCTTACCTCGTGGGCCAGGGCAATAGAGCCACCCTTCTTGAGGCCCTCCTCGAAGATGCCAACACTTGTGAGGTTGCCGAGAGGGGCGTTGTTGGCGTAGTCGAGGGAGTCGACATCGGCGTGGATGACGTGGTACTCAAGAGCCTTAAGGATAGACAGGGTGTTGTCGTTCCAGCTGAAGTAAGGAGGGCGCATGTACGTGGGGTACTTTCCGATGATGTTGATCAGAGCGTCCTCGAGGGTGGTCATCTCAGGGATGATGTCGGCATCGCCAAGGGTGGCGAGGTCAGGGTGGCTGTAGGTGTGAGAGCCAATCTGGTGGCCGTCGGCGATCATACGCTTGACGACGTCCTGCTCATCGTTGATGTTGCCGAAGTTCTCGCCGTTGACGAAGAAGGTGGCCTTGGCACCAGCCTCAGCGAGGAGGTCGAGGACGTGGTTGGTGTAAGTGAACGGGCCATCGTCGAAGGTGAGAGCGAAGTCACCAGGAACGGTGCACTTGGTGATGGCAACACCGTAGGGGATGGTGGTAGCAGGAGCAGTAGAGCTAGGAAGAGGGGCGGAAGCGTTGTTGCTCGCAACGGGGAGGGTGGCGCTGGCAATGGGCTCAGTGGGGAGAGCAACACCGGGGACGGTGGTGAAAGACGGAGCAACAGAGGGGGTGGAAGTGTTCATGGGGAAGGGGATGTACGGAGCAGAAGACGCCGCCTCAGCAGCCTTGCTCGGGTACGAAGGGACGTTGCCGCCGTTGCCACCGGGGTTGGAAGGCTTGCCGGGGTAAGAGGGGTAGGAAGGGTAAGAGGGAGTGTTGCCGGTGCCGCCGGGGGTGGAGGGAGTAGAAACGCCGGGAGCGGAGGGCTGCTCGGGGTAAGAGGGAGAAGCGTTTCCACCCTTGCTGGGAGTGTCGTTGCCCTTGACGGGGTAGTCACCGCCCTTGGAGGGAGTGCCGTTGTTTCCAGAGTTGCCAGAGCCAGAGCCAGAGCCAGAGCCAGAGCCGGTGTTGGAAGACTCACCGCCGGTAGAGGCCTTGCTGGGAGAAGAGGGTGTCTCGCCGGCGTTGGTAGGCACAACCGGGTAGGAAGGAGTCTCGTTGCCCGGGTTGACGGGCTTTCCGGGGTAAGATCCAGGGTTGCCGCCAGTGCCAGGGCGAGAAGGGACACCAGGGACGGTGGTGTTCACGGGAAAAGGAGCACTGGGGAAGTGAACAGAGGTGGTAGGCTGCGTCTCGGGGGCGTCCTCCTCGCAGAAGGTCTCGTTCGAAGTCTGACGGCGGAAAGGGGAGGCAGTAGCTCCGGCCACGAGGAGCGTGGCAGCAACAGTCTTGTAATGCATGGTTGGTAAAAAAGAGCGACTATTTAGATATTATAAAGAATGACTTGGTTGAGATAACGAATGACTCTGCCAAACAACACAGCGACTGACAGTTGACTAGTAAAGAACAAGAGGAAATCCCAAACTAGACGTCGCGGCATGCGTGCTCCCATATATCCCATCGACTTTGCCAAGTCTGCATGGCCCCCTGATGCGTGAAAGTGAAGGTTAGCGCCTCCATCACGTTCATCCCGTTTTAATTGCCAAGATTCACAGCCAAGGATTGGAGTCCCAAGTGACAAAACAAGGCCGAGTCATGCCCAGGAACCCTCGCGAGGCGTATCCAGCCTGCTGTGCCTGGCGGCGGAAAAGCAAAGAAACCTGGCTAGCTCAGCTTGGCATCTGCAGAGTTGCCCAGCTGGCTGGGAAATGGAAAGGTCAAAACCTCCATGTCACACTGTCTCGCTGCATGTGCAGGAGATAAGATGCAAGCGCCGAGAATAGCTGGTCCATGCACCTTGGGGGAGAGGGGATACGGATAGAGAGCAGAAATTGTCCCTTCTGTTGGTGACGATGTCGACCTTGGCAGCTCGTGGTGCGTCGACGGGCGCAGAACAGACGGACTATTCCTCCGCGCGAAGTTGCCAAGACCCTCAATGCCAGATCAAGGCGGGTCTCTTCTTTAAAAGAAACCCAGGTGATGGCATGTCGTTGTGCGACGTTTTTCTGGTCTCCGCCGGTTAGACTTTTCAAGTTGTTCTTGGTCAATTTGGTGAGCCTCAATCCAGCCAATCGAGTTGAGCATGACTCGGAAAACGCCCACTTCTAGGTCCTTATTAACTAGCTTAATGCTACGCTTGCAGCGCCCGAGCCGTCCGGCACTTCGCCGCCTCTTCCCACCAAGATGCGCCTACCGCAACACCAACGGGCAAGTCAAACAGCCCGATGCTCAAGCGAGACGGACTGGCTGCCCCCTGTGACACCGCGCGCGGAGTCCTCCACGCGCCATCTACGAGAGATGAAAGCCATGGCCTCGTTCGTGGTCCAGAGGTTAAAACAACGGGGCTGATGGCGACGCCCCTTTGGGGCTGGAGATTCATCCAATATTTCACAATATCGGCGACGGCGATCCTCACCGTGAAGGTTTTTGATTGCGTTTGTTCCTGATCATGCCATGTTGGAACACAGTTCCAACGTAGGCGACATTACGGATACAGAGTACAATGTGAAGGATTCGGTTACGGGGGTTCTATCAGAAAATCCTACTGCGGTAAACCAAAGCACGAAAATCATTTCGCGGGGGCCAACTCCGGGCGCACCCCAAAGGCACAGCTGAAGCAGTCATCAGGGGCTGCAAGACATGACCAACAAATCGCCGATGGTTCGCCTGCAGGGATTGCTGGGCTGGCCGAAAACGAGGCCTTCGGGGTTCGACAGGGGTTGGCTGCTTGTTTGTTGGAGCAAACAAGTCGATTCGCAGGGCCTCCAGGCGTTCGTCTCCGCCAGCACAGGCGGCCGATCGTGAAGTCCAGAATCCCAAAGACATGGAGTCCTTGTTTATGTCAGCGGGCTGCCTTTTTAAGAGTGGTCATTGCTGCTGCGCAATGCGCTGTCCCGCATGCAAAGCTCTAGCGAGACGTTGTATTGGGACTTTGGTATTGAAACTCTAGAAGGAGTTGGTTTCGCTCTTCCGAGAGTCTCGGGATCGTCTTGAAGAGGCGGTGACACAGCTGAGATATCTTCGCTTTTTCATTTCAGCCTTAGAAGCCTCTGGAGAAGAAATGTTCACTCAACCGTTGGTTGATTCGTTGCCCCTTTATGTCATTTCTCTCTCCTGGCTAGCGTCCTCCTGCATCTGTCTCGCCTTCTTGGCGCATAGGGTCTCACACCACGGTCAAGTGGGGCCGGGCTGCGCAAACTGAACTGCTCAATGCACCAACTGGCTTGGCAGATGAGTCCGTCCAGACGGGCGGAATCCTTCAGTGAAGCCAACATAAGAACCATGCGAATTCTGCACCATAGCTAAGGAGCCAAACGACATTCAAGACTGTGCGACTTACTTCTGGATTCGGCCCCAGATCGTCCCTTGAAGTACTGCGATGCAGATCACTTTACTATGAGCGATTTCAAGACCACGGGGGCCAGGCTTCTGGCCGCCAAAGGCTGGCCCCCTGAATCCTGGCGGTATCGACGAATTGGTTGACGAAAGAGGCTGAACTTCCAATCTTACCCGCATGAGGCACAGCACAACTAGAGCAACAATGGCGTTGAACAGCATTCGTTCCTGCACAGTACTTCCGCCCGAGATGCGCTTGTAGGGGGTTTCGCGCCTAGAACATTTTCTAGGCCGCACGGCACGGTGGTCCGGTTGGATTGAACGCTGCCCAAGAGCCTTGAATGCTGAGTGCAAATGTGTATATATGTTCATTAGTATGGCATTATTCGAAGAGATTTAGTAAGACACGTTGCTGCTGCGCAAAAGCTTATCTTCGGTGGCCATTGGAGTAGGCAGGCGTAAGGCTTTCTTCCAATATCATTCTCTGCACACTTCACGGAGCGAGAATTGCGATGCTTTCTGCCATGCAGCTGGCGCCAGCTGCAATCAGCATTAGATGACAATCTCCCAGCGCCCAAGTTGACTGCAAAAGTAAAAACGTAATAAACTGGACTCCTAATAACTCTATTCTTTTTATAGAGGCCCGAATTGATAGTAACAACTTACAGACAACTTGAAGGAGAATTAATGATAAATCCTTGGAATAAATTGTGGAAGCAATTGATCGGACTGAATTACTCATCCTGATCCAGCGAAGAAGAAGCGCTACCGAGCCTCTTTAACGCCCACTAAAAGGTCTCAGGTAATCATGCCTGCGCCACACAGCGGACCTTATGTCCTCCGGTATCCGCGGATAGCCCAGCCGTGATTACGTTTCTCGTTCAAACCACTGCCTGCGGCCTGTCGCTATCGAAAGGTCTCAGACAATCGCATCTCCGGAGACCGGACTCCGTGTCCGGTGGTCATGCCATATTCCGATCTTGCCGAGTCCCGGTTCCTGACCCCACTAGACCGATCCGATGCCATGCGGGCAGCTTGACCGGCGACGCGTCGGGCACCGTTGCGCCCCTTGCAAGAAGTCGCATATCAAGGTTAGCTGCCGATCGAGTATTTTGATTGATCGGAAGTCGAGAGGATGCTAACACTCCCAGTGCAACGGGGCACATCCGTGTTCAAGTTGCGTCACCCGAGGCATCGAGTGCGCGGCCTCGATAGCATCGTCGAGCTTCCATTTCGTGAGCCAGCGTGAACTCTCACGGGTCCCAAGAGTATTGGTACAGGACTCATGGCGCTACATAAGCACCTACTTTCAGGCCATGGGCTCTCTCACTCAAGCATCTGTGCTGAGGAGTGCTGCCGTGACGGCCATGTCTCATGAAGATGAGAACGTCAGCCGCACCTTGTCCATCGTCGGAGCGTTGTATGCCTGTCGAAACCCTCAAATACTGCGCATCAACGCCAAAGAGAGACGAAACGTCATGGAGACATGGGTGCGGCAAAAGTCTATCATTGATGCGGAGCTGAAGAAACCGGAGATTACAAAGTTCACGGCGATCTTAATGAGCGCTCTCCTGCTTGCAGCTGTGGAAGTAAGTCCATTAGTGTCAGATTTACATCGTTCGGAAATCTAACTTGCCAAAGCTCATGCTATGCGAGGCACCTGGCACATTTGAGATGTGGCTCAGAAGGATATCCAAATTCCTCGATACGTACAGTAAACGGCGAGCAGTCTCAACATGGACACCGTTTGAAAAGGATCTTGTCCGACTTTTCAAGTTTCTCGACATCCTCTCGAGCATCGCGAAGAATGATCGGCCAGTTGAGACACAGGTTGCCCCCGAACCATGGCCTGCACTACCCCTTACTATCAAAGTTGCAGGAGGCTCGATACCATCACCGGACTCCAGAAAGGTAGATGCTATGCTTTCTGCCATGTGGCAGTGGGCAGATCTACAGCCAAGGTTGGTTAACACTCCCGTCGTTGCTTTAAGCATCTTGCTCATGTGAATAGGGCCTTTGCCTGGGTATCCAAAGCCGAGGAGCAGCGTCTTTCTTTCAAGGATGGGGACGAGGTATCGAGGCAGGCTGTCGACTTGAAAGTGCAAGGTCTGAACATTGTGTGCGAAGTGTCGGCCCTACAGTCCCGCATGATTGGAAACCTCATGCAACTGTCTTCGAACCCACATGATCAGGCGTCTGCTAGTATCAGCCCATACTACCACTGGGCTCTCACTGGGCTATCTCATATGTTCCAACAGAATGCGTGGAAGTCATTAATGTGCGACCTGCCTGCCATGCCCGCCGAAGCGCTTCATCAACAGGCCTTGGCAGCTCTCGGGCACGTAGAGATGCTGATCAGCCAACTGGGTCTTGATCTTGCCCTTTACCTACCTTTCGCCGACTTTGTTGGGCGGGAAATGGAGACAGAGCTAGAGAGGCAACGGGTGCTCAAGTTTCTTGATCTCGTCAAGAGTAGAGGTTTTGATGCGGCGGATGAGTACAAGCAACATCTTCTTGTCCGATGGGAGCCAAAAGAATCAGCATCTACGCTTGGCAATACAGCGGAGTTATCAGATGGTTGGAGCGAGCTGTCGGTAGACGGGCTGTCGGACGGGCTGTCCACTCTGAGTTAGGTACTACAAGAATTAGATATTTTCCTTTTGAAAAAGAGCAACTCATTGACAGCAACCTCCTCTTTCAATAACCATGATTTGTCTATCTTTTTTTCGCTGGCCTGCGAATCACAAACAAATATCATGCAGCAATCGATTTAATCTCTGCAACATCAAATTATATCGAACAGGGTGACTCTCAACGCGGCTTTCTCTTTAATTTCATTCGAATTTTACTTTGTGTTACGAGAAGCTTTCTGTCCGGCTAGGAAGCGAAGAAAGAAACAGGCTTTGACCCCTAGTAGCAAAACGAACAACCTATTTCGAAAAATAAATCTCTATCCCCGGACCGGCCATCAACTATAAGATTTACGAATACGTTGTCTTTCCATGCAGTAGCAAATTTCTTCGTCACTCATGAGACATACGAAGCGAAGTTCATGGCTTCGCCGTCTTACGAACGCCAAGTTTCAAGTGGACATTCCTCTACAACATTCCTGGAGTCCTAGAGCCTTGCTGGCTGCCTTGTCAAAGCTTATTGCGCCTCAAAATTCCTGGCATTTAGCATAATGCTGCCCTCGACATGTTTTCTACCGATTCACGGTCACTGGCCTCGCTTGCGTTCAGCCACGGAAGAGGGAGCAAGCCAGGCCCAGTCCATCGCGGCATTTTGACCGCTTGTGGCACATTTGCAGCGCCAAATCAAGTCTAAGCTTCTGTATATTGATTTAATCATTCAAGATACATCGCACTCGGCTGGAAACATGTCCTCGAGCGGGCCGTTGAATACGCCTAGCGATCCAAGCCCCCTCCGCTGGGAAACGGGATTCGGGAGCTCCACCCGGCGGAAGACCCACACGGCGCTAGCGTCGCGACAATATTTCCATTTCGGGAATGATCATCCAAGACCTTAAACGTCAGCTTGGTGCTACCCCCGGTCGCTAAAGCCAGGGCAGCCACGAGGTCGCGTCAACCGTCATTGGCATTCGTTGTCGTGGAAAGTTGTTCCGCTTATCCTGCAAACAGTACCAATGATCAGGTTCATGAGCAAATTTTCAGGGCGGGCGTTGGGGAAACCGACTTGCGCGTCGGGAGGCCCGTCCGGTCGTGAACCGGGCGAGGGGAACATTGTACACTTTTGAAAGGCGCGGCAGCGGTTCTTTTGTGATCTTATCTAAACGTCATTTAGGCACCGAGCCTTCCGTATGACGGCCCCAGGGTTAGGAAACATGCCACGCTTAGCACCCTGTGAACTTCGTCTGACCCAATGAAGGGAGCGTATTATTCGGCTAGATTAGATCTCTCGTGCGTCTGGTGGGAAACGGCTAGATAGTGGGCCACGTCGGAGGATGTCTAAGCCACTTTTTGCTAATACGCGCAGACGTCGGAACCCCATTCTGGCCGATTCCTGCGGACGACCGGGCACTCGACTCCTGTGGTCTACTTTTTTCCGCACAGAATATCCCTTGACTAGCCTGACATTTTATAAGAAGACTTCCCAGCCCTGTCCCATAGCTTGACGATGATGCCGTTACTACACGTTCAGACATTGCGAGAGGACCTGACCGTACGAAAATGTCGAGATTACCTGACGGCTTGATCGCCTTTGGGCCGAATGCCAACTGCACACTCGAGCTTTGCCCAATCGAATGGAGCATCCTGCAATATCGACCCTCAGTACCCGCCAGCGCCATTTTCATCTCGCTGTTTGCTATTGCCTTGGTAGGCCACGCCATCCAGGGAATTAGGTCGAGGACATGGGGCTTCATGGGAAGCATGATAAGTGGCTGCATCTTGGAAATAGTCGGCTACATCGGACGACTTCTGATCTACGACAATCCATTCAACTTTGAAGGATTTCTCATGCAAATCGGTCAGTGTTCACGCACATCTGTCTCATATAGGATCTCATGCTGACGCCACGTCACTACAGTCTGCATCACGGTCGCGCCCGTCTTCTTCTCCGCCGCGATTTATGTTCTGCTCTCCCAAACGTAAATGTTCCTGAGCCGCATGAGTGAGACTGGCCCCTCGGCTAACCAGTTGCATGAAATAGCATCAACCACCTCGATCCCTCACTATCCCGGGTCAAGCCGAAGCTATTCTACTGGGTCTTCATCCCCGCTGATGTCGTCTCGCTGATCCTTCAGGCCGTTGGCGGCGGGTCATCCTCCGTCAGCACCACCAAGGAAGCTGTCGACCGAGGTGTAAACATCTCCTTGGCAGGCTTGGTCTTCCAGGTCTTCTCGCTTGTGGTATTTGCCATCCTCTTCATGGACTACATGGTCAGATACAACCGCTCGATCGGCCGGTCCAAGATGAACGGAAAGCTCAAGTTCTTCCTGCTTTTCTTGGGTCTCAGCACATTCTTCATTCTCCTCCGATGCGTCTACCGTATTGTGGAGCTGCATGAGGGTTACTTCAGTCACTGGTTCCGGGATGAAGCGCTGTTCATTGCTTTGGAGTCAGCGTAAGCATATTTCCTTCCCCTTGACTGCTAGATCGCTAACATTATTCAGGGTCATGGTTATTGCCGTATTCTGCTTGAACATTGGACATCCAGGCCTGGTGTTCGGCAAAGCAAAGTCAGCTGCAAATGTTTCTCGCTATGAAGGCGTTGCCATGGAAGAAGCCCGTAAAGGGGAGACTGACAGGAGTCAAAACCCATCATTCAGTCATCCTTCAGAGCCACCTCACCATTAGCATGGGTTGTTTAACCAGTGACATAGAAATGACGCGTGTGCAAACCATTTCGTATACCAAATTTCCTTAGAGATATTGAATAGAAGGATTGACATCAAAATGTTTTCTCACATATAAACTCATCATCGAAAATGGTTTTTTCAAATTTCGCAAACAAATTTAGGGATTAAGACATACCAATACACTTTGACGAGAATTCACTTTTGAAGGATCTCAGCCTACCTTTGACGAGATAAAAAATGTGCTGACGATGAGTTGCGGAGAGAACAGAAGATAGTGTTGAGGTTAAGTCCATCAAGGTATGTTTACCATTGAAAATTTAAGCATCTAACCGTGGCATATGGTAAGGCATAAGGTTTCAGAGTTTTAGACTCTCTTCCTCTTCCTTTTTCCTTTTTTTTTTTTCTTTTTTTTTTCTCACACTTATCTCATTCTTGTTTCCTTGCCCCCTCCCTCTTCCATCGAAAGTATCTCCCGCCATCCACGTTTACTACGACTGGTCAGCCAAAGACAACCTAAACCTACTTCCCCACCATACATTACATTTCAACTATTTCAGCAGCATGCAGGAAGTATCACGATTCTGTATGAGTTCTTATTGGGATCTTGTGACTGGGCCAAGCGTGGCTTGGGTAGGCAAAAGAGAGCAAAATGCCCTTCGAAGTCCCATCTATCGTATTCCCAGGGAGCTGTTATTAGACATCATGGATTGGCTAGATCCTGAAGACGCTTTTATCTTTCGACAAGTTTGCGTCCTGTTTCATGGGGCTTTTTCTCACGGTAGCTTCTCCAACCTCCACGACTCGGAACCAGCACAACAGCTCCGACCGATCTCACGACTGCGACGATGGGTATCGATCATATCAAGACGATCGCCCGTCTCCATGCCAACGTCCTGCAATCCCTTGTTGGCGTTTAGGCGTGAAAGTATCGGAAACTCCGGACAGTTGCAAGTCAGGAGGCTTCTCCAGAAAGACTTGCTTTGTAGTGGTTGCCGTTTATACTGGCCAGCAAATTGCGAATTCATGGAGCTTAAAGAGAGGTATCACGAACAGCCAACGATCTACTGTAGCGCTTGCAGCTACAAGCATGCCGCTTACTCATTTCCAACGGGACAAGATCCTGAAAGCCCACGTCGGTGTATCGCTTGGGAAGGCAGAGTGAAGATATGCCCTCACCAAAGTCTGGCGTGGTCTACTCTTATCTACTTGTTTAACACGCCAAGAAGACGAGGCAGAGAAACCGTCGTCCTAGACTGCACCAGCTGCATGGCGGCCTTTCGGGGAATAGGGGAATCTCCAGTTGTACGGCATACGTCGAATTCTGAGGATAATTTCTTAATCTTGACATGGAAGATTCAAGTTTGTGTCGTCGAAAGAGGACGATTCGTAACCAAAGATGCATTGCGACAGGCTCTGCGACAACTGGACCAAGCACATCCGGATCTGATGTGTGGACATATGTCTTTCGAGGACATGATGGAAGCCGTCAGTGCTGATCGGTGTGTCTGTTTTCGAGAGGCCAACAGTGAAAGCCGGTGCTATAGACACCATCTCAACGACGCCTCGTTTGAATGTTGCGCGTGCTCCATGAAGCCTACCTCGCGTAAAATGGGAAGACTTTTGGGAGGAATCAGGAATAGAAACGCCCCTGGACTTCACGGAATCAGATGCCGAGAGTGTTTGGTAGAGTATGAGTGGACGACTGAAGGTCGCAGGATCTTCATTCGTGCAAAAAACTTTCTTGCCGAGGACTTGGGGCAGCAGTATGGCGCGGAAGCAATCTATCCACGTCTACCTTCTGACGCTTGGTGGTGGGCGAAACATTTGGACCAGACTTCGTGGCAGAGAGACGAGAGCGAGAGGCATTTAACGTGGTGTGCAGAAAAGAAGTGCCCCGTCAACAAAAGCTATTTATGGCTATGACAGCAAATCCTAATAGAACTATGGGACACTGGCACTGGCAAATTGGTTCCATGGAGGGATGGGTTTCGTACAACTTCACGTATGTTATTCTGTTTGAATCTTGGATGTCGACACAATGGAATATCTCACAGATGCCAATACTTTCCTAGATAATCGTAGTGAATAAGTAATGATTCTAAAGACGTTGTGACGATTGCTAGCTGAGGGCGCCACCTGTACGAAGAAACGCGTTGCTTGTGTGAAAAGCATCATCTCCGTACCATACGATTACTGTACTTGGAGTAAGTGTATGATAAAGGCAGGTGACTCGTACTCCAGGTGATTCCGGTAACGAGATAGTCGTGCTCAGGACTGAAACCCCACCGGGGCTACGGTCACGGACGGGGCATCGGGGTTCTGATGTGGGGCCGAAATGTGTCATTAGTCATCCACCGAAATCATCGGCCATCTGCGGTGGAAGCTCGTCACCCAAACCCGAAGCTCCAAGCACCACCTCCACAGGCTGGCATTCGCGGCCCCATGTCCTCTCATGTCAAACTCTCACGCCTACGCCCACGGGCACTGCACTCGACAGGCATTGGACAGATAGCCTTCCTCCAAAGGCGACTGCACCATGATTTCAACCACTTCGTGCGGACGGGTACGGGAGACCGATCACCCTACTTGCGCGGGGCACAGCTAACTGATCGCAGAGTCCGTAGAGGCGGCATCAATTGCTCCTCGAGCCGCCGGCTCAACGAAGAGCTTCAAGCTGGCTGTGAAGGACAACATCGCTACGCAGGACTTGCCGACGACATGCTCCTCCGCCATCCTCTCCTCCCACAAGAGTCCTTACGAGGCCACCATCGTGCGCCAGCTCCGCGAACGAGGCGCACGTGTAGTTGGAAAGACGAACATGGATGAGTTCGGAATGGGATCGCACTCTCTGAACTCAATACATGGGCCGGTGCTCAACCCGCTGTCTTCGACGCCCACATCAGCTGGCGGAAGCTCTGGAGGAAGTGCGGTCGCGGTTCAGACTGGCGATGCGGACGTGGCTTTGGGTACGGACACTGGTGGCTCAATTCGTCTCCCAGCGGCGTACTGTGGGGTTGTGGGATACAAACCGTCATACGGCATGCTTTCTCGATGGGGCGTGGTACCATACGCCAACTCACTGGATACTGTCGGTCTACTTGCGCGGGAGGTGGGCATTATTGAGGATATCATGTTCAGCACTGGTCTAGATGTCGAGCACGATGCCCAAGATCCCACGTCTATATCTAAGAGCTTCCGAAAGCGCCAACAAGAACAGGAGGCGGACCGCCGCTCGCGACTGAGAGTCGGCATTCCTCTCGAGTACAACATCGAAGAACTCGACCCCCAAATTCGAGCAGCTTGGACAAGTGCGGCAACACTCCTTCAAAAGTCTGGCGTTGACATCGTCCCTGTCTCCTTGCCGTCGACTAAGCACGCCCTTTCAGCGTACTATGTCATCGCTCCTGCAGAAGCGTCGTCCAACCTCGCCAAATATGATGGTGTCCGCTACGGTACCCGTGGCGACGAGAGTGACGGCGCTGGCGAGGTCCTCTACTCCAAGACCCGCGGCCTCGGCTTTGGTGACGAGGTTAAGCGGCGCATTCTCCTGGGTGCCTACAGCTTGAGCTCCGAGGCCATGGACAATTACTTCATCCAGGCACAGCGCGTGAGGAAGCTTGTCCAGAGGGACTTTGACCGTGTATTCCGGCTAGAGAACCCCCTCTACGACCCGCAACAGTTTGATCTGAGCGATATGAAGGACGAAGTGGAGCTGCAGGACAAGCTTGGTCCGTCGCAGGTGGACTTCTTGCTGTGTCCCACAGCACCAACGTTTGCGCCCTGGATCGAGGATATTAAGCAGCAGACGCCGGTGCAGGTCTACATGAATGATGTCTTCACGGTACCTGCGAGCTTGGCTGGCTTGCCGGCTATCAGCATTCCGACCAAGGTCGAATCTCCAGATGCGAATGCAGATGATAGCCGCAAGGTGGCCGGTCTGCAGCTGATAGGCCAATACTGGGACGACAAACGTCTCCTTGGCGTGGCCAAGAACCTCCTCCGTCAGCTTTCGGCTTGAGCGCCGACCTGAACAGTGGCTGCAGGATTTGTGCTGCGGAAGAAGCCTGCTATGTTTGTACAATAGAAAAATATATACCCACGACACCACGGTTGTAATGTTCCAGCATTCTTGTAAGTGAAGCATTTGGTGACTCCATTCGCTGGAGACATTGGGTATCATTTTGTAACTTTTTAATCTAGGGAGACCGATCTCAGCTCCTTGACCGTGATCTCCTCTCCACGTCCATCGGTTCACCGCTGCCTCTCCTGTCTTCAACCACCTCTCCCTCAGAGTCATCAGCGCCGTTCTCCCTTGGACTGCCTTCACTAGCTTCCCTCCTCTCCTCTTCCTCTGCCTCCTCTAATAGCTCATCAATATCACCAAGCGGACTGATCCTCTCCTCCAACTCTCCCAAGTCCACCAAATCAACCCTCTTGGGCAGTTCCCTGAAACTCGTCGCGCAAACTCTCGACTTAGTCAACAAATCGTCCACGAACTCGTCCATGTACGTCAGACTCGTCCCCGCGCGTCCCTTTCTTCTCAACTTCCTCCGATCTTCCAGAAACGGCTCCAGCAGCAGGTAAACATCCTTCGCCTTCCTCGTCATCCGGATGTAGAACACGGCCAGCGCGCGCAAGTATTTGAACTTCTCGCCGCCGAAGCCTAGGTACGTCTCGAGGATCTCGTCCGACGGCGCGAGCTGCAAGAGCTTGAACGCCAGACACAGGAACGGCGTCGGCTTCTGAGTTACGCCGTAGGTACCACCGATGAAGGTGACGTGCTCGACGACGCGGTCGACGATGTCGGCCTCGTTGACGGCGAAGCACTGCTCTTTGTAGAAGTAGGCGTCGATGATGCGCTCGCGGACAGCCTTCTCCATGATCGTCGCCGGATTCTCGCCATTGGGGGCCAGGGAGGCGGAGGAGCCGCGCTCGTCGAGGAAGCGCCGCTCATCGGCGTAGATGGTGTCGGGTTTGCTCATGTTCGCGGCGATCGAGAGGGTGGAAGGACAGGTCGATGCAGGAGAGGAGCTCGCTGGGAAGGTCCAATGATCGACCCAACTGGAAGGCGCGTCTTTCGGTGCGCGATAGCTACTGTGCTCGAGATATCGTCAAGCCAAGCTTTCTAGAGTCTCTGGTCTCGTGAAGTAGATCACGCTCGGTCGATACGGGTGGGGTGGATTCGATGCGACGCAGAAGCTAGCTCGCTGGGCGTGACATCCGCCGTAAGAAAAAAAGTTGACACTGACGTTGGCGGCCAATGACACTCATTGACAGCTGGCCTATCGATAGTTGCCCCGCGAACCAAGTAAACAGCCCACTTCCAAGTTCACACTCCTCCGCCACGTCACATCTGGCGGCGACTGCAGCCAAAGGATCAGGGGAATGCAAATGGCGTCTCTATCTGCCGTTTGAAACGCATGCAGAACATCTTCACATACTCCATCTATCTATACAGATCTATCAAATTTATTGTCACCGAAAAGAAAGGTCGAGAAAACACGGCAACCATGGTGCTCCTCTCATCGTCACAAGTCTCCGTCCTCCTCTCCACCGCCATCGGTAACACCCGCCCCGTTCCCGCATTCCAGTCCCGTCCACGAGTGAGCAAACGGCTAACCTCTCAACGCGTCACGCGTATGCGCCCTGCCGCATATGCAAACGCATTCTCTTGCCAACAGTCCTCTCTTGTGGTGCAGCTCTGTTCCTCAGTGGCTATGTGATCCAGCAACGCACGCTTAACCAGCTGCGGGAAGCCATCAAGCCTGACTATGACCCGCGACCGTCACCCAAGACCTCGTACACCGTGCCCGAGCACCTCAAAAATACACCCGGCAACGCCCTGTACGAAGGCGGAAAGCAGGACCAGATCATCATCGAGGTGAACCCGTCGGTGCCCGAGCAGCAGCAGCAGCAGCAACGCCCGAAGAAGCTCGCCGGACAGAACCAGCAGGGCTGGACGTCGGACCTGTGGAAGAAGATGGTGTCCTCGTCTGAGAAGGACGAGCCGGGCGTGAGCAAGGAAGACCTGGAGAAGATGGACGAGCGGGAGAGGAACATTAAGGGGTGGAAGGTCAAGGACCAGAAGCACCCCGACCCCGACGCCGCCAGCGAGAAGCCCATCAGCCGGGCGGAGAGGAGGAGGCTGATCAAGGAGGAGATCAAGCGGTTGTCGCAGGGCGAGGAGCCGGTCTACTACCAGCGACGACTGTGGTGAACTTTTCTTCGCGATGGATCAAAGTTTCCCCAGTATATACGGGACCCACGGCGTTATCTGATTTCTGGGATGCAGTTAATGAAGGGATGTTTACGATATCATTAGGATCTACATCATGTACACACAATGTGGATAGGACGGGACGGCCTCGGGCCGACGCAAACGAGAAAAGCGTTGTTTGTTGTGCATGACGCGGACTGGAAATATCATTCCGTAGCTTTGTATTCATGCGTGTGACCCGAGTGAGGGTAAACGATGCTCTCGTCGATAATAAAAGCCATGCTATCGATGATGTGTGCTGCCCTTTCCCCACGACAGCAAAAGCAAAGCCGGAATCATGCATTTCGTCAGCGCGGTGAATTCGTCATGATTCGTCTCCTCCATGATAAGCCCTCAAACGCCGTGTCCATGCCCCACGAAAACAACAAGATGAAACTGAAAAAAATAAAGCCACGATTCACAAACGCCATGCCCGTCGTGCCGTCTAAGCATGCCTAGTGGCGGCATCCTGGAAAGCTTCCCGCTGCATCCTCTCGAGCTCCTCGAGGGAAAGCTGGCTGTTGGCGAACTTGTTTGCCTTCTTCTCGCGACCCTGCAGAAGATGTGTCAGCCCCGACTGGTGTCACGGGTCGGAGGTGCAGGGGCTGGCTAAGATTGGGAACGTACCTTTTGGACTTCTTTGTGCTCCGCCGCCGCCTCGAGTACGGCGGGAACGTAGTCTGAGAAGCCCAGCTGCTCGAGGGCCTTGGTGATGTGGTCGCAGGCGATGGTCTTCTTGGCCTCCTTTTCGGAGATTTCGTTGGCCTCGGAGGAGATGAGGGTGATGAACTCGACGCAGCACTCGATGAGCAGGTCGCGCGCCTCCTTTGAGAAGGCGATGCCTACGGAGGGCGGGAGGATCTCTGTTACGATTTTTTGGACGGTTGCTGCGGGTCGTCAGTGTTGGCCGCAGCGGAAGACGGGATGAGAGGCTTACCCTTTGGCAGAGACAAGTCATCGTTGCCTGTGGTGCTATGTCAGCATTATGTCTTTCGGAGATCAGGCTGTGTGGAAGCAAGGCATAGGAACGGCACCCAGGAGGCCATCCTGGTCTTTCCAGAAAATGTCCTAGTGCATCTGAATGTATGAAGAGAGCATTACTGCCGCTCTCAGGCAGTATGGTGCATATGCAGGATGAGCGTCTTATACGAGAAAGTTGTGATGAGGGCAGACAGAATGGAAGCCTGATTGCGATGATGCAGTCGAGGAAGGGAGGAGCGGCAGCAACGAATGACCGATAAGGACATTCGTTGGGGGTGAAGGGCAAGCGAATAAAAGATGTAATATCTGGACAAATCTGAGAGCAACTTACCGGCGATATCGTGGTCGGACATGGCGCAGGATGAACTGAGAAGAATGCGATAAGGGTTGAGATGTTGCGGTGACGTATTCGAAAGAAGAGAGGGTGAGGAACCGACTAGATCCCAGCCAGATGGTTTCAACGTAGGCCGCCTTGAAGGACCTGGCTATGCAGTTCGTGCCCGTGAGCTGAGACCGGTCTATAGACTTATATCGGAGATGGTTGGCGGTGAAAAACACGGGAGCGGAGCGGACATGTGAAGCAGACGCGGGACAGTGTGGCTCGCTCTTCGGGCGGCTGCTAGTGGTGGGGTCTTTTATGCTATTTGGATGCGGGACACCAACTGCATTTGAACCCTCCCCGCGCCCAGGCCTCAGCTGTTGCCTCTTTTTTTGGGCTGTCCACTCAATGCGCGCGAGCCACAATGAGTGTGGTGCACGACTTTTTTCTGTGCCCATCCATGGATCCACCCGGACCTGCCCACCTGGCCCGCTCAGCCAGTCAGGCGCGGCGCTCGGTGAAAGGAGCTTCCGACGTACCGCCGAGCACGGGCCACCTTCTCCAATCACTCCAAATTTTTTCTTCCCTTAAAAGTCAGATTTTTGACGGCAGCTTCAGCTTTCCTTCCTCTTGCATCACCAAACAGCAGAGACAACAAATCACCATGCGCTCAATTGCTCGAGCCGCTGGCGTCTCTGCGCCTCGTCCGGACTGACTCTGGTAGGTTTACCTTTTCGTCCTTCTTCCCGCTTTCCCCCATCGACCTGATGAGCTCTGTTGTCGCCCCAAACTTACGAGGAATAACTCCCCTCACACAGTGGTGAATGACCGTCCTGCCAAACGGACTTCTCTGACTTGTCACCTTGAGCTTTCTTGCTTCTTGTTGCCCACCTTTTCGGCGCGACCCAAAGCTAACAGAAATCTCTTCAGACAGAAAATGTAAGCTCGCTCGCCCACGTTCTTGCCGCAACGTCGTGTTTTGCGCCGCTTCGCGCCTGCGATGATGTCCAAAGTACTATCAAATACCGACCTTCCAAGACGGAGAAACGATAACCCCTGAGCACCTGCTTTACAACGCACTTTTACTCGACGGCCAGCATGCGTGGACTCGATGCTGACGTGGATGTGGTTGCAGGGTGCGCAGGCAGTGATGTGTGAACGTGGTCTTACTCACGATCCTCGCCCACAGCTCTCTCGTTCAAGGTAGGCGCAAACTTTTTTCTTTCTACTTCTGCTTCGCGCTGAGCGAGCTTGCCGATGATGATGAAACATATTCCATGCTAATCCTGAATAAACAATGTGGAATCAAATATGAGCTTTTCATCTTTCGACTGAGGCATCATCTATTCAATGTTTTCTATTCTGCTCTCACTGGCTCAAGCAGCTGGCTAACATTGGACCTTTTTAGTGAACACTTGCATCTACTCTTGGTACGCCGAAAGCTCTGTAGCTTGCCACCTGCGATGGGGTTAGCTTCTGTCAAATGTTGACGGGAATGGCGCGACCTACTTGAAGTACTTGCCCGACAGGGCGTGCTCCGGCTTGACGACAAACCGCGCCATCACGTTGCCGGGTTGCTCGGGCTTGAGAAGCCCTCCCTTGTCAAAGTCGGAGACGAAGGACGAGTGGTCCTTCTCGGCCATGTGGCCCTTGCCGGTGTCGCGGATGACCTTCTGCATGGCGGTATCGACGCGACCGGGGCTCATGGCGATGCTCGTGATGTCGGGCTCCTCAACGGCCAAGTGGGCGGAGAGGTGGTTCATGGCAGCCTTGGAGGTGCCGTAGGCGCCCCAGGCAGTGTACGCGCCGGTTGCTGCTCCGGAGGAAACCCAAAGGACGCAACCCTTGGACTTGCGCAGCTCAGGCAGAGCGGCTTGCACCTTTTCGAGTAGTTAGATAGTAATCAAGCTGTGAACAAAACGTTTTCCTCACCAATGCCAGGCCACTGAAGACGTTGATGTCGTATGCGCGCTTCCATTCTTCGACGTTGAAGTTTTCCAGACGTGAGACGGGCTCCAGCACGCCGTGGTTGATCACAATGCCATCGATCTTGCCGAAGGCCTTGACAGCCACCTCAGCGATCTTGGGGATGGTCTGCAGGTGTCAGCCTTCCCTATCAACGCCACGCAGCCGCGAAATGACGCCCTCACCTTGAGATCACCCAAGTCTCCCACAACATACTCGACCTGTCCAGGATGCGCGGACTTGAGAGCCTCCAGCTGGTCCTTGGATCTCGCAGCCAACACGACCTTGTGCGAGTCCTTCAACAGGTACTGAGCGATAGCCAGGCCGATGCCGCGGCTGGCGCCGGTGACGATGATCACTTTGGAAGCCATTGTAACGCGTGATGCTGATCTGTAGTAAGACAGGTTTCTTTCTCAAACACCAAAAAAAGCAGCGCAGACGCAGGAAAAGAGTCTGCACCT